AATGCAGATAGAGACCATTCAGGCAGGTATACAACATACTTTATTGCTTACTTTTCCTCTTTTCAATTTATTAGGCTAATTCCGCAGTCTTACTGAGATGCTAGAACATATTAGATAGCTTTTAAAGAAGCCAGACATTGTAAGGCTGTGATGATTAACTATTTCACTCCTTATTTTTTATGAAGTTTATTGTTTGTGCCTGAAATAAGGTTACATGATATGCCTCATTAGTCTTAAGTAAAACTGAAGACTTATTTTCAAAATGGGAATTAGGTGTTTCCCTCCCCATCCCATCTTTCACAACTTGTTTCCAGCTATGAATGTTGGCCAGTTACGTTGCACTGTCTTTCAAGGAGTAAAGAAGCAGATTTTTTCCCTAAAAGATAGAGATGTATTAAGTCATTTGCTGAGTAATCTTCAAAACTACCTAACAAAATTGTTTGTTCGCTTGTTTTTAGGACACAAGATGGTGAAACAGCCCAACCCAAAGAAGTCCAGCAGAAACAGGGCTCTGCCCACCAGGAATGGTTTACCAAGTATTTTTCTTTCTAAACTGATTCTTGGGATCCATCACAAAGAGGACATTTGAAAAACATTTCTTTTAAAGCATCTGATTGAAGGAATGAACTAAACCAACCAACCAACCAACCAAATAACTTGCTTGTGATATGATTTATATATAATAGTCAAAGCAAATTTTGGCATTAACATTTCCTATTTCATTGTGACGCCAGTGCTTAAAAAATTTCTTGCCATTAAGATAAAAAAAACCCCACACAACCCCCCCCAAAATCATGTTATCAAGAGGCACCCATAGGAAAATGTTATTGATGTTGCTGACAACCTTCACATTGTATTTCTAGTGTCCGTAAGATTTCATTCTGCTTTATGGAATATCAATCAGGCTTTGTGATTTCCATGGTCTACTTTAAAAGTGGTTTCATTTTTCCTTAGAAAGCTAGTGTCATCTCCATTTAGAAAGTATTTCTATGTAAATGACACTATTCCAAAATGCACATTCAACCTCAGTAGGAAGAAGAAAACAAACTTTGAAACACTCATGAAAGCCAATTAAAAAAAAAAAACAAACGAGGCAACACTAGGAGTGGACTGTAGCAGACCTTGGCATACGTGGATTGAATGCTTTGATTTCAGAGGTCCAGGACATGAAGTAGACTATAGAGGAGATAACACCTACCTCAAAAGGGACTTTGCGAGAATTAAGCAAAATATTATGGGTAATGATACCAATCAGGACTTGGAATTAACCACTGCCAGAGTTATCCCGTGAATAACTGAGCCTCACCCCATCATACCTCAGTTTCAGTGACTGTAGTTTCAAATTGGTCACTTGTCAAGGTTTCTAGAGTATTCTATGAAGTCAAAGATCTACTGAACCCATGGTCTTTGAGCTTGGGCCCTTTGTCTCATGGTGCATTGCTTCCCCACTGCATGGATGCCTGGCACATTAAAGGGAATCGGGACTGGCCATTCACGGTGCTGACCTGTCAGTCCACACCGAATTGTCTGCCCTTCTGACGGAGGAGTGCGACTGGACAAGACTCAATACAATTTGGGCCAAATATGTTCTCAGTCCTTTGGTGCTGGCCCCACAGGTGGCCGTAAACAGTTGTTTATTCTATGCACTGTCAAACCTTTGCTCTTTGAATAAAATTAAAACTGGGCAATAAAAACAGATGTGACTTGTATTTTCCCAAAGAAAAGTGAAATTAGATGAAGACAGAGCTTGGAAACAGGAAGTTCACATCAACCTCAATTAGATCATCTTAAAAGTAGCTGCTTCCATATGTCATTTGAGAAATGCAGTTACAACTCACAATTTAAAGGTAAAATCACTATCTGATCAAAACATGTGGCCCTTTAATTTCTTAAATACCAATACTTGTTACCAGACATGTAACATGCCATGTTATTTTTCAATATCATATTTTTAAAAAGATTTGAGAGTGAGCACACATAGAAGTGGGGAGAAGGGGCAGCGGGAGAAGGAGAAGCATACTCCCAGCTGAGCAGAGAGCCTGATGCAGGGCTCCATTCCAGGACCCTGAGGTCATGATCTGAGCCAAAGGCAGATGCTTAACTGAGCCACCCAGGTGCCCTAGTATCACATTTTTTTTTTTAGTTATCTTGTTTCCTGCTTAAGGTAAGCACTGTAGGATAATGCTTGTATTTTGTGTTTTTAAAACTATGTAGATAGTTCTGTTTATCGAAACCTTCCAACACTGCAACTCCTGATGACTGTCCTTTAACTCAGCAGGACACCTGCTGCAGGGACTGAGTATTGAGACTCTACATCTATTTAATTTCTTTCTTGTTGTTGCAAGTGAGTGAAAGATGGTTAAATTTCTAGATTTTACCCTGCAATAATTACATCTTTGTTAACTAAATCTATGCATGCTTCTACCATTTATTTCTTCAGGACATACTCCTTGAGTAAAGCATCAAAACATACAGGTTTAAGCATTCTGATGTAATAAAATTACCATCCAGAAGTTTCTATCAAGTTTACACCTTCACCAACAGGAATAAAATCCTACCTCTCTGTACCCTAGATAATACTGACGAAGAAATTCAATTTGATAGATAAGACATTGTTCCAGTTTTTGTGTGCATAATCTGATTCTATCAATCTCTCAAGAGCAAGTGGTCCAGACGACGGTGATAGCTTGGGAAGAAAAGTGGAGACGAAGAGAATGAACTGATTCAGGATTGAGTCAGGAGGGAGAAACAGCAAGATCTGGTGATAAATCTTGGTAGGCCCTATTGCGACAGGCAATAGGGCTAACGTATTGCTGGAGCAAAACTGGAAAGGAAGATTGCTATAAAATGTTTCTTAATTAGGGTAGAAAAGAATGAACTTGCACAAGCAATGGTGGTATATCATGTACCTGAGCCTTTATTAGCTCTGCTAGCATCCATGTAACATCCAACACAATAGTTGAACTTGAGGCTATTTGGTCTCTACTCATTCTCCATGATCCATCTGGATTCTGCAAGGGCGAGGTTGAGAAATTAAATGGAGCTGTGTTATGGACTGCTCTCCGTATATCCTGGTAGCACTAATCTCCACCATCACCCTGAGGATGGAATTTATTATTATTTTTTTTTACTTTAAAGATTTATTCTATTTGTTAAGTGCTGTTAGTTTGTCATTATTCCTCCAAGGAGAGTCAAGACGGTGAAGTGATAACCAGCCAACTCCACTGTTCTTGTGTATAATATTCCCTCTTGCTTTCCCATGTTTGATCCTTGTACTGTCAAGGTTTCCTTCCACTGGAACGTTTCCCTGAGGCACCACTGGTGGAATCTGCAGCCATTGGGGCACTGGTTACTACCATCATGGGTCTTCCTTGCCAGTTGGACAGTGCATGAGACAAGCCCCAAATCTCATCCTGTCTACTCTCTCAGACCACAGCCACTAATATCCATGTCAGGTTGTCCAGGAGCTATATCCCCAAACACAATGAGAGTTTTAAGACATTTACCTGGGGATTTCAATGCCCCCAGCTCAGAGACCACCATTTACATCTATAGTTGAACAAGTTGGGTTTATTTCTCGTTGTAGTAAGGGGAGAATGCTTATCATGGAGAATGGTAGGGCTTCTCAGAAAATGGGTGTTAGAACCTATTTTAGAATTTTGGCTTTGGCTGGGTGATTTCAAGCACAGTCTAAGGATGCAAGGGCTTACTCTAGATTGGATGCTATAAACAAGTGCGGGCAATTCTATGACTGAGTGCCTAAAAAAAAAACCTTAACTGTAGGGAGCAGACTAGAGTGAAGATGAAGCTGAAAATGGTTAAAAGAAAAAAAACAACACATCATTTTAGCCAGAGGATGTTTCATGGGTTATGCTGTAACCTTATTTTTTTTCTCTGAGCTTAGACAAAATGACAAGGTGCTTTTGTCTTGCATTTACATGGTCTCAGAGCAACTTTGTCTGAGGTTGGTATACTGAGACTGTTTGTGTCTAACAGAGTAACATAGCCTAGTAAATCTGGATCAGTGTCTGGATACTAGGGATACGTTTTTCTCCCCCTTTTCTGGAAAAATCATGTGTACCATGAAGGGGAGAGGAAGAATAAGACAGGAAGAGCCTTCAGACTACGGGTGTAAGGTGACGCTTGTGAAAGGGAGGCCAAGGAAGATTTGGGCGAAAGAGGCTCAGACAAGACAACACTGAGGAGTCTTGGCCGGGCCAGGGGAAGCTCCAGAGCAAAGACTCCCACGAGGAGAGTCCCGTGTTGGGCAGAAATGACCTGGTGCAAGTACCCCAACTGTGCTTGGTTCACAGCCAGGAGAGCATGGCTTTCTGGGATGTGTGAAGCTGACCCCCGAAGGCGGAGCTCTGGTAACTGTCCTCTCCACAGTGACTCTCTTGAAGGGAGAACTGAGCAGCACTCCTCCATGGCCTCCAGGAGTCCAGGACCACTCAGAAATGTCAACATTGACAAGCTGAGTAGAAAAGATGTAACAGAGAATGAATCCAAGTAAAGAAGATGAAGTATCCATTCCATTTTGCAAGAGCAAAGTGGCTAGTAACCGTCATAGCACAGTGATGGTATGGTGGGCGGGCAGCCTAGAGAAAGAAGGGACAAGGAGAGACGCTGGAGACTGTGAACAAGGGGCAGGGAGATGGGCACCCAGGGGAATGCTGAAGATGAGAGACGAACTCTTTGAGCTGGCGGGAATGATCCAGTAGACTACAATGTAGGGGATGGCCACCACCCAACTACCTGGGACCCAGGACCCCAGTAAAAAGGCTTGTCTTACAAAGGATAGGCACTTCAGGAGATGAAATAGCAAGAACCAAAGGATGCCCTGAAGGGGTGGGGAGGTTTGTCACTTTGGGAGTGGAAAAGTAAGGGAAATCCCAGCTGATAGTTTACCATCTCACTGAAGGAGACAGCAGGTCAGAGGGTTTGCTATGTTCATCAACAATTAAGAGGTCATTAAAAGAAAAAAGATATTTACAAACAAGTAAGATTGAAAAATTATTTATTTGACAGAAAATTTTTGAATAAAGAAATGGCAATTAATTGGTACTTACATGAATTCAAAATATTTTCACTAAGCACCAAATGGAATAGTTCTCAATCTTTTCAGTAAGAACCTCTTTATTAATGAATGACTGCCTAAAACTTAACCCGTTTATTTAGGTTTTTTAATCAAGAAATCTAAAGCTGCCAATCAGGGCTTCTAATTGGTGTGAGGTGGCCAGGTTAACAACCTTGATGTCATATAATGTGAGTAAGAACTACTTTTAAAAGCTTTGTTTAATCTATACTGGGGGGTTGGCCCCAGGCTTTATACTCTACACACATGCACACAAACAAAAATGAATAATAAGCATTACGCATAAAAGATAAATAAGTGGTCACTGTACATTCAGAGGGGAACAATGCCTACTTCTCATGAGGGGCACAGAGAGAGATACAAATCACTAATGCCCCCCCCCCCCCCCAGGGAGAATCAAACAAGGCTGGCAAAGAGACAGCAAGTCCTATGTCCTTGGGGTGCAGCAGAGAGAGCACGCAGAGGCTTCAGGGACCAGGTGGCATCCAGGCCAAACAACCATGAATGGATGGATGTCAATGTTAGGTAGGGAGGAGCCTTCAAGGCTGAAGGAAACAAAACAAATCAGGATGCCTGGCTGCAGAAGTACTGCCTGTTTAGAAAACAATAGAGCATTTGTTTTACATTAGGAAATGTAATCTGATAAGAGACTGTAAACAACAGAAAAAGGAAAATCCCATCTAGGGAGCACCAAGAGCAATGCCCTTCTGTATTTCTTAAGGGCGGCTCAAAAGAAAATCTCATTGGTCCGTGTAACCAACAAGAGGGTAAAATGTCTTCCCAAACACTGAAGCTCCCATGATTTTTGAGGATGGGGAGTTTGCTGAGGGTCACCCCCTACAGCCCATTCCCCACCTGGATGCCCCAGTCTTTTGGAATCAATGTCACTTATTAGCAAAGACCATCCTTTAGTGGAAAATTCTGCTACAAAAAACAAAAATGACACAAACAAAACTCAAAATAAAAAGAGATGATCATAGCAAACTTTAACTTCTCATACTGCATGAATGCCTGCCTCAACTGTCATGCTAAAAACAAGGTCTGTCCCCTTAAACTGACTCATCCCTGCAGAATGTAAAAATTTATCTTATCACTGCTCTTACTACACACCTCCACCCCAAAAAGGGAAAAATACCACACAAAATATAAACTTCCCCAAATAAAAGTCAACATCAACATAAGGATCCTACTGTACTATTACTACACTAACGTAGGATATTATAATCCTTTCAATCTATTTATAAAATCTCATTCTGAGAGCTCTGGATGCATTACAAACATCACTGTATTAGATTCCTCTTCTTGAGGTAATTTAAAGTCTTGAAACATGCAAATTTACCTATTTCTCTGTACTCACTAAGGGATAATTGTCATAAAAGGTCTAAAACTAAAACCCTCATCCTCTCATTCTCATATCATATCACACAAACTAATCTAAAATTGGAAACACAATTAAGTCATACAAAAACAAAACAAAACAGAAAAAAAGAAACACAAAAGGGTAATCTGTAAGTGGCATCACACTAACAGTCTAAACTTTGCTAAAGACAAGAAAATTTACTGGATTTACCCAAACTATAGAGGCATTTTATAAAGTACTCGAGAAATAATGCTTATAAAAATAAACGGAAAACTTTAGGTGAACTCATCAAACAAAAATCATCTCTTTCTTTGGTAAAGAGTTCTTCCAAAATGTGTCCACAAGAAGTGATGTTTGTCAACACTGGGTTTAGGCTCACACACCGGATCACCTTCAGGCCGGCTTTGACTCAGGTTTGCTTCATTGGTGCAGGGATATTAGCAGACGCCTGCTCGAGGTAGGCCAAGGAGCCCTGAGGGATTTCAGCTGGCTTTTTGTGCTGCACGTTGATGTCCTCCAGTACCTGCTGCCAATGCCTCAGTTTTGTCAAGTGTTTCTGGACCAGAGCATCTTTCCGCTGTAATTCATTCCTCAGTTCTGAGACATCCTACAAACGAAGACAACGAAGTAAGAGCAAACTCCGGAAAAATGAAAATAGTTTCTTATTTGGTAAGAGCACCAAGAAGTAAATTCAAAACAAGAGAATCTATTCAACCACTGTACGCCCATTACCCTGGTTGGTTCCACTACCCAAACAACCCAGAGCAACTCCTCCAATGGAAGATGCCTGCCTAACACTGAGGGCTTTTATTTTTCATAAGAAAAGTAATAAGTAATGCAGATGTTCCAATATTCCAATATTTTAAAGTACCAAAAAGCAGCCAAAGAAAACCAGGCTCTTTCCCATCCTGGTCCCCAGGCTCCCAGTCTCTCCATCCAAAGGCTACTGCTCAGAATCCAAAACACTGAGAATCTGAAACAAACGTTAACAACAGTCTATAAAGAGTCCACGACCACTGTCCTATGCATTCAGAATGAAGTATTAGAATCTATTTCCAGGGCTTTTTAAATGAACACTAGCATTATAATTCTTTTTTAAGGCCTGGCCCTGAACACACCTATGTTCTTACTCAAGTGTTCGAGTCAGAAAATGATCTGACATGACAAAACTGTAAAAATATCATCTTACCCTTCACATTCTCAGCAGCTGATATCAATGAATAAATAGAATGGTTACAGTTAATTGGGAATAGTTACTCCAAAAAGTACCAAAACAAATCATTTCGATTTAGAGCTTCTCATTAGGGGCATCCAGGCTTCTTGGGCAAGATGATTCTTCTCCCTTCCACAATGCACGAGGCAGGCTTTGGCCGCAAACACGAGATGCCAATAAAGCTTCCCAGTCACTGTGACAACCCCAACACATTTCCAAATGCCCCAGTTTCAAACAACTGAGATAAATGAAATCCTGAGTCTCAAGGAACCTGAAACAGAACATTTAATCTTTGATTCCTTGAACAAAACTTGAACCCATCTCGTGTGTAAGGCAGCCAGGGATGTTTCCTTCCAAAATGAGCTTGTCATCTACATTAATGGCTTCTCCACCTTTTTCAGGCAGCAGAACCTTTTCTGTAAGAAGTCTTCCATAAAAGCCAGTAAATGAAACTGCTCCATTGGAAGCCCATCTTGCCACCTCCACTCCACTACCTGCCCAGCTTGTCCTCAACACTGACAACTGGCAACATTTAAAAAAAATCTTTTTTTTTTAATTATTTATTTATGATAGTCACAGAGAGAGAGAGAGAGAGAGAGAGAGAGGGAGGCAGAGACACAGGCAGAGGGAGAAGCAGGCTCCATGTACCGGGAGCCCGACGTGGGACTCGATCCCGGGTCTCCAGGATCGCGCCCTGGGCCAAAGGCAAGCGCCAAACCGCTGCGCCACCCAGGGATCCCCACTAGCAACATTTATACTCATTTTATAAAGACCTACTGTAACCCATGGGAAAGGGGTGTGTATCTCATTTAAGGCACAGAGGGAACCCTGATAACGTGCTCTTCCTTAAAGTTGAGGAGAAAAGTGAGTTCCTACCTCTTTGATAACTTGTTCTGGTTTCTGGACAGATAACTGCAATCTTTTTTGTAGGAAAAAACATTCCGTCTGTCTTGCAATATCCAGAAATTTCTGGATACACTGATCAACACCTTATAAAAAAAATATTAAGAAAAACACTAGATACATGTATCTTCCTCATAAATGAACAGTCAAAATATCAAAACATCACCCTTCCATAGATGTAATCTGAAATTTTAATTTTGGTCGCAGGAGTGATATTGACTCCCAACCCCCATGTATTAACCAACATTAAATAGCACATAATTTGTGCTTTTATGAGGTAAATGATACCTTACAACACAAAAGAGTTCCTCTTGAAGAGCGAAAACCCAGAGATTTTAGCAATTAGCATCATGACTTCCAGTTAAAATGTAACATGTAAAATATGGTACAAAAAAAAGTCAGAAACCCTGGTTGCCTCTGGGGAAAGAATTCAGGTAGGGGAAGTACAAGGGACTTTTCTCTGTGACACCTTCAAAAAATAATCAGAACTTTTTTTTTCTTAAAGATTTATTTATCTATTTATGATAGATGTAGAGAGAGAAAGAGAGAGGCAGAGACACAGGAGGACAGAGAAGCAGGCTCCACACCAGGAGCCCCACGCGGGACCGGATCCTGGGACTCCAGGATCGTGCCCTGGGCCAAAGGCAGGTGCCAAACCGCTGAGCCACCCAAGGAGCCCCAGAACTTTTTTTTTTAAGAAAAAAATAATAATAATAAAAAAAGAGCAGTATGCACTGTTGGTTGTCACTGTCCTATACCAAAAGGGAAAACTCATTTTAAGGCGATCATTACGAGTGACATGTCAATTAGTAAACTGAACAGTAGCCATCTAGACACGGCTGCATAAATCTTACTCCCTGGAAAAGTTCTCTTAGGATACAAATAGAACTGAAACACATCCAGTGTAAAATCAGCAGTTGGAAACCTTGCTGAGGGCAGCCCGGCTGGCTCAGCGGCTGGGCATCCACCTTCAGCCCAGGTCATGCTCCTGGAGACCGGGGATCGAGTCCCACATCGGGCTCCCTGCATGGAGCCTGCTTCTCTCTCTGCCTGTGTCTCTGCCTCTCTCTGTGTGTTTCATGAAAACATAAATAAAAATTTTTTTAAAAAAGAAAAGAAACCTTGCTGAATGAAGGCACGAACACAGTCTACAAAGAGCGAATTCTTACCAGTTCTAATTTCTTCCTGATCCGTGCCATTGACGTAGTCCTGACTCACAAGAGAGGCAAAGCAGGCCTGTGTGATCCAAACACGGAAGAAAAACGTCATTCACATGTCAAAAACCTTACTTCAGAGCAAGAAAGGACTTGTCTTGGAATCCTTCAGTGGGCCGACCGGGTCTGGAGCCCGGCGGAAAGGACCCAGGGCGCAGCAGGCTGACGTTACCGTGGTGGATGAGCCAGTGTTCAACACGCAGGAAGGCGGGAGCGAGCGACCAGGAGTGGGCCCCCAGAGGGGAGGCGGAGGGGGTGCGGGCGGGGGAGGGGTGGGGAACCCGAACAACCCGCCGCGAACCCAGACGGGTCCCGGGCTGGGGGAAGGGCAAACTTCAGGTCCACGTGCTTTGGGAAACCCGAACTTCACGTCTCCGCCCGCGGACCCGCGCACAACTCCGGCCAGCACTCAGCGTGCAGACTAAAGCAAAGGACTCAGGTCCGCAAGCCTGCCCCCGCCCCACCCCCCCGAATCTGTAAGCCCGAGGCGGGCATCGCCGAAAGAGACAAGAGCCCAGGGCGCAGCTTCCCTTTCAGGGAAGAAGGGAGTCTGGGAAAACAGACGTGCCGATCTCATCTTACCTCAAAAGAGGACTCCAACTCGTCCACCAAGGTACTGTTAGAAGCTCTCGGGGGGCCTGGCGCGGCCTGAAGAAGCGAAGGCTGGCCCCTGGAGTCCCCCGGGTGCCCAGGTGGCTGCCCGGAGAACATGCCTCCCAGCGGAGCCGCCATTTGTGGAACGACGCGCTGGCGGGGGCGGGGCGGGGGGGCTGCGCCTGCGCAGGAACTGGCGCCCGCGGCTCACGTGACGCAGCCCGTCACGTGACTGCGGGCGCCGTAGGCGGACCTTGGGCTCCGCGGAAGCTGCGAGTGCGGGTTTCACTTCGGCCAAGCCTTCTCGGCCTCTGGGCTCAGGTAAGCGGCTGGCGGAAGGAGGGAGGCCCCCAGTCACTGCGCAGTTACTGAGCGCTGCCGTGCTCCAGTGACTAATCTGGGCCCGGTGGATGGAGCGGGAACAAACTGGCAGAGTCACTCCTCCATCCTCTGTGCGGAGGGGCGGGTTGGGGCAGAGAAACACCTGAGGGTGTTGAAGCTCCTCCCGCCTTAGATATTTGTGCTTACACTAAAGCCACTATGCGGTCTTTCAGTAACTTCCCTTTAGCACTAACTTACCTTTCCAGAAGCAAAGTTTATTTTCCCCCGTTATAATTTTTACAGTTACCTGCATTTACCGAGCCTTCCATGTCCTAGGCTCTGTTTATTCTGGGATTTTAACGATCACCCGAGTGTCTGTTGTAGAGTCTACTACTGGTTTTGTGGGAAAGCGACACACACACAAATATATACATAGCAATACCGCATAGAGGTAAGTGCTAAGAAAAAAAATGAAGCCCAGTAAGGAGATGGCTAGTGATGGATTTGAGATGGGCGGTTGAAGTCTTTCTTAAAGAGATCGGGGCTAGACTGACTAAAATGAAAATTTAACCAGAAAGGTTTTCTAGACCGGGGTGTGTGTGCGGGGGGGGGGGGGGGAGGGGGCTTGAAGAACCTGCCTGGCATATTTTAAGGAACCACAGAAAGGCCAGTAGGGCTGGAGCCAGGGAGGCAGAAGTAACCAGAAAAAACAGAGGCTCCCCTTTGCTTATCAGGTCTCAGAGCAAAAGTGATCTTAGGAGCACCTGGATGGCTCAGTGGTTGAGCATCTGCCTTGAGCTCAGGCCGTGATGTCCTGGGATCGAGTCCCACATCAGGTTCCTCACAGGGAGCCTGCTTCTCCCTCTGCCTGTGTCTCTGATGAATAAATAAAATAACAGAAACCAAAAGTAATCGTCCTGGTGTCAATTTAAATTAGCCCCACCCTCCCAGCCACTTACTTCACCCTGTTTAGTTTTCTTTATAGCACTTACATATTACCTTGTTCATCTGAAATGGCCGTGTTCATCTGTCTTCGTTGACAAAGTCACCTGACACAAATACACCAACAGGAGTGGGAGTACAAGCTCTGTGAAATTAGGGCCTGCCTTCTTGTTCACCTGTATTCTCAGCACCCAAAACTGCCTGGCATATTTGTTGACTGAACAAAAACAACACCATAAGGGAACTAGGGGACTCTAGTAGTTCTCAAACTTTAAGTCTTAGGATCCCTTTACACTCCTAAAATATTGAGTACTACAAACATTTTTGTACTACAAACACGTATGGGTTGTGTCAGTATTCAATTAAAACTTAAAATAGGTAAAATATCTAGGTATTAACAATCCAAAAAAATATGTTAAATAAGCCAGTTACTGTTATTAATATCTTAAATATATGTTAACTTATAAAAACAAAAGAGTTGGAATCACTTCACATTTTTGCAAAAGTAAAAGACACTTCTCATCCACATGTAGTCTTCAACTCCAATTGCCAACTGGGACTGCAAGAGCGCCTTGAAGCTAGGTGGTGATACACATTTCCCAGCCTGGATTTCCGATGACCATGGGGCTGCTTCAGTTTTGGATTCCCTACTTCAGCTACCTCTTAATACTACCATATTCTAAACCACTACTATTTTGGATTTGGTGCTCACCATAGCCATGCCTAGTGCTGATACACAGACATGGGAATTACCACCTGCCTCAGAGTGTGGTTCTGAGATGAGTCAAGAGTTTGTGTAATACCTGGCAGCCAAATAAATGCACCTGCAGTGACAACTAAATTTCATCTCAGCCAGATTAGATAAGCACATGAATCCAGGGTTAAGTCCTGCCCTTTGGATCCCACACTCCGGTAAACACAAGAGTTCTCTTGTTCCTGTTTATAAAAAGCCAGATAGGAAGCTTTGTATCAAATCCCTGCTTCACCTTAGGAGTCACTGAGAAGAAATCTAATTCTAGTTTCCTTCCACAAGCCAGTGGTTCCACTTCTCCATCTTTGACAAAGGAGCTTCTGGACATGGATACGCAGAGGAACTTCTTTACTCACTATTCCTGCCTGACTTCCTTTAATTCTGAGAAACAACACAAATATGCATGTCCATATTCATTCCCTCTCTATAAATCATTTGAAACTCATAATATCCTCTTACATGTCAAATGTTTAAAATATTAAAAATAGGGGTGCCTGGATGGCTCAGTTGGTTAAGCTTGTGATTCTGGATTTCGATTCAGGTCATGATCTCAGGGTCGTGAGATCAAGCCCATGTCAAGCTCCGTGTTCATTAGGAAGTCTGCTTGAGATTGAGATTCTCTCTGTCCCTCTGCATCCTTCCTCCCGCACTCTCTCAAATAAATGTTTTAAAAAATAATAAAATATTAAAAATAACTCCAAAAAACTCAAACATTCAGTCCTTAAAAAAAAAAAAAAAAAGGTAGATCCTATTCATGGATAATTCGTTCACCTAGATACAAAGGAAAGGAGAACTCTGTCCTAAATCTGCATAAGGAGAATTTTGAGTGGCTGTAGTTCCAGGTGGTAAGCAAATACTTTATGAACAGTCCCTCTTATTGGTCTTGTTCTTTAACACAAAATATATCCCACATCCATTCAAGTCAAGTCACTGAACCAATGGAAAGCATAACAATGTAACAATTAGGAACGCCACCTCTGCCCCCCTAGTGTTTAATGCTCTCCCAATTACTAGCTTGATGACACAGCTGACATGTTCTTTTCCTTATATGGGGATAATAGCACCTACCTCATCAACTAATAAACTCATCACTGAGTGCCCTAAAGTGGTTATTAACATTGAGAAAATACTGTACCATCACGTAACACAGCCAAAAGGCAAGTTATGCTGTAATATGCTGTCACTGGGTTTACAGTAATAACAGAATACCAAAGGCCACACCAGAAAGCACAAAAAGTTGATTTATTGTTTCTGACAACTGCATAGTAACCTTTACTTTTATTCCTAGCATCACAGCTAAAAGATGACTTCGCACATCAATTAAAAACATATACTCTGAAAATTAATTAGGTAGTTTTTAAACATTTAGTCATTCATAGAATACCTTAAAAATCTTGGCCAAGCAAGAGATTAGCTTTACCTTTATAAATCTCTACATAAGACAAATCAAGGCAATCAAATTCTCTTTTGTTCTACATTTTTAAATGTAATTCTTTGTTTCCTTTAAAAGATATTTTTCCATTCATTCAAAAATATTTTGAGGCTTAACTGCCCATTTAAGGCAGAATGAAAGAATTTTAGAGCATCTAAACTAAGCATTGTTTTCACTGAACTGAAGCAAGAATTCTATCAGGGTCCTTGTGGGCCTCCCAGTCATGCCCTTCCGCAGATATGGAACTTCATCTTTGTTGGTCATCACACCTGCTATATCTAAATGTGCCCACTTAGGATGAGTCACAAATTCTTTCAGGAACGCTGCAGCTGTACATGCTCCTGCAGACCTGAAGAGAAAGATAAAAACCATTTTTTAACCTCATGTAAATGTGCACTGAAAATTTCATTAAGATCCTCTATTCTCATTAAGTACCTTCTATGACCAGAGAGCAAAAGTCAAGCTTATGAGATTAAGAACTTAACCCAAAAACTACTTTCAGAGTATTTATTTTCAGACATAGCTTTAGGCAATAAAGGATAAGATTCCTCTTCCTCATGGTAACAAATTGACCTATTTTTCATCTCTTCTCCTTAACGATTTGTTTAAATTGACTTTAGATTTGAAAACATGCAAAATTTTGAGCACCAGATAGAAAATACCTTGAAAATTAAAGACATTAGAAATTAGTACTTATGAGCACTGTTATCAAAAGGAAATGGGCTATACTTTCTGTGAAAGGGCATAAAATTTAAAAGTGGTCATTTTGATAACCAATGATTGTAAAAATGTACTTTCACAGCTCCTTTACATACCTATATTTTCCAATGTTATTAACATCAGCAAGTTGGCAATCTACAACTTGTCTTGTATAATGTTCAAAGAGAGGCATCCTCCAGACACGGTCACCTGTTTCAATACTGGCCTAAGGAAGAAATAGGTACAATAGTTGGAAGGCTGCATGAACTAAATTATGGTTAAATTCACAACACTGATGTATTCAATGCCAGAAAGAACTATTCTGTACAGAATCATTTCAGGTAATGAGATGATTTACTTAAGAATTATAAAAGAAACGAGTTGTACGGCATTTGCCAAAATCATCTGTTCTATGGATCTCAATTTACAATAAGCTGGTAGCTGGCAGTACTTCGACTTTATGCGACTGACTATGGGGAAAGTCTTTGTGATGCCTGTCACCTCAGTGTGCTAAGAAACACATGTCTGAAAATGTACCACCGAAGACCAAAGCCCATGACAAGGTGACCTCATTCAGTCACATAATCATATACACACTCATTCACATTCATCTACAGAGCACCACCAAGTGCTGGGGATATAAAGTTTAATATCTGAGCCATCAGAGGGCCGAGAGGCTAGTGGAAGAAACAAGATACACAGACTATTTTAATAGACTATGCTCAGAGATAAGCCCCAAAAGTGAAAAGTCAGGAAGCAGCAACAGAAGCTAGTTATTTGGAGACATGAGTAAATAGTAGCTGAATCAGCCCCAGGTTGAAAGTAGCTGCCTCTGGGAAAACAGACCACAGACTGCTGTTGACTGCTGACTGGTCTTTAAATGTTTATGCACACGGAACTTTTTTTTTTTTTTTAGAGAAGCTTAAATTAAAAAAAAAAAATCAAAAACTACAGCATTGTGGGTGCTTGATAAAGAGAGACACTGGGTGCATGACAGGCCAGAGGAGTGCCCCTCTGGTGTCACCAGCCCTGCAAGGAGACAA